AGCCTAGAGAACAGAGTTTTAAGGAGAGTGCTCCAACCTTTAAGAGGGGGTTCCAGAATGTCTGGGTATGCTGGTGAGGAGTCAAAACTTTAGGATCTAAAAAGTCCTTAGCACCTAAGAGGTTGTCTCCATCCACTTCTCACTTTAAGGATAAGGCACTTGTTTAGCAGAGATTGGAAGTAGCCAGCATGTCTGAGGCCCCACTTATTAGTGATCATGGAAAGTTATTTTATTTTATTATTATTGTTACTAATAATTTTTTGAGACAGAGTCTTGTTAATCGCCCTCAGAGTGCTGTGGCATCACAGCTCACAGCAACCTCTAACTCTTGGGCTTAAGAGAGTCTCTTACCTCTGCCTCCCAAGAAACTGGGACTACAGGCACCCGCCATAACACCCAGCTATTTTTGTTGTTGTTGTTGCAGTTGTCATTGTTGTTTGGCAGGCCTGGGCCGGGCTTGAACCCACCAGTCTTGATGTATGTGACTGGTGCCCTAACAGCTGAGCTATGGGCATTGAGCCGTGAAAGTTTTGTAGTTTCTCAAAATCATATTCCTTTCAAATTCAAAATGAACCCCTGGGAGCCAGAGAAGGTGGCTCGCACCCATAATCCCAGCACTCTGGGAGGCCAAGGCAGGCAGGAGGATCACTTGAGCTCCGGAGTTCCAGACCAGCCTGAGCAAGAGCGAGACCCTGTCTCTACAAAAAATAGAAAAAGTAACCAGGTGGCCTATAGTTCCAACTACTGGGAAGGCTGAGGCAGGTAGATTGCTTGAGCCCAGGAGTTTGAGGTTACTGTGAGCAAGGCCGATGGTCAATTAAATATGGGAAGGGTGTTAGCAAATACGATGGTTTCCATGGTTTCTGATTTTCAGCCCTTTCTCCTGACAGTAGGTAAAGGGACCATTAGTCTGGTATGACTCCTGCTAAGAAGGTTCCGGTGCATGTCATGGGACGACAATCCCTTCTGTGTGGCTGTGGATGTCCTTAACAAAGCCCCCCTTCTTAAGTATTGGGAGAGAAGGCTGTAAAATATTCCCCTTTTACCCACACAGCTTTATATTCTGCTTTGAACAGTAGAGTCTTATTTTGATGTGATAAAGCTTATGTTTAAAATCAGTAGCCATCATCCTGAATGATGTGGTATTTGTCACAATCTCACTAAAATCGAGTACAAAGTTCTCCACTATCCTTTTTTTTTAATTATTAGAGCACTATGTTAGACGTTCTGGTCACACAGGGAGCAACCACAGAAATGAAGAATGACATGGGGCTTGGTGCCTGTGGTTCAAGTGGCTAAGGCGCCAGCCACACACACCTGAGCTGGCGGGTTCAAATCCAGCCCGGGCCCGCCAAACAACAACGATGGCTGCAACCAAAAAATAGCCAGGTGTTGTGGCGGGCACCTGTGGTCCCAGCTACTTGGGAGGCTAAGGCAGGAGACTTGCTTAAGCCCAGGAGTTGGAGGTTGCTGTGAGCTGTGATGCAACAGCACTCTACCCAGGGTGACAGCTTGAGGCTTTGTCGTCAAAAAAAAAAAAAAAATTAAAAAGAAAAAAGAAGAATAACATGGAAAGAACAAGACAGACTCCCATTCTTCACAGCCAGTGTGACAGTGTGGTTGTGTACTTAGACTTGTGTATGTGCAGAACCGGCCTAGAACCACCAGTTACATTTAATTAAGAATTTAGTCAAATAACTAAACGTTATTCTTATATGTAACAACCAGTTATCAATAGGAAACTATTGTGATGAAATACAAGTATTTCCCTTAAGTATTTGTTAAATAATCTAGGAATAATCTTTTTTAAAATTAAAAATTGATACATATTTAGACATACATGTTTTGTGGTACATGTGATAATTTGATATACTTATATGATCAAATCAGGGCTATTGGGATATCCCTCATCTGAGTGATTAACTTGATGAAAAGAAGATGAATATAAAATAACTCAGTAAAGTTAAAAAAATTTTTGAGGATGAAAAACTGACCCCTGGCTGGACGTGGTGGCTCACGCTTGTAATCTCACCACTCTGGGAGGCCAAGGCCTGTGGATTGCTTGCGCTCACAAATTTGAGACCAGCCTGAGCAAAAGTGAGACCCATTCTACTTAAAATAGAAAAACTGAGGCAAGAGAATTGCTTGAGTCCAAGAGTTGGAGGTTGATGTGAACTGTGATACCATGGCACTCTACTCAGGATGGTAGCTTGAGACTCTGTCTCAGAAAAAGAAAAACTGACCCCCCCACCAAGTATTATGATGCATAAAGATAAATTATTTAAAGTCATGTGGTACTAGTTGAAGTATTGGTTGATAGGTTAATGGGATAAATTTGATTACCCAGAAGTAGAGTTTGGGCTGTGTGAGAATTAATTTGTGCTAAAGGACTTGCAACACACCTGCGAGTTTGGGGGAGGTTATTTCGCAGGGATTGGCACAACTGGCTAGTTTTTGAGAAAAAAAATTAATCTTCATTTTGTGTTATATGCGAAGATAACATCCAGATGGCCTGAAGGGCCAGATGTAAACAAAAACACTAGAACAAAATACATGTGTGTACTCATTGAGCAAATTGGTCTGTGCCTGGTGTTTGCTCAGAGGAGCTGACTGGACTCACCTCCTTCCTGGAGCCTCTCCTTGACTGATTGGGGTAGACGGGCTTGAGGCTGTGTTGACCGGTGGCTCTACCCTGACAGGCATGGGGTGTAATGATGGTGCTCAGAGAAGGCCCCCAGAGAAACTGATGTTTAGACTGCGATGTGGTTTGAGCACCGAGAGGTCAATGCAGTCATGCTGAGTGGTCTGAAGTATAAATATGAACAGGCAGTCCATAAAAGGAGAAGGATACAGGCAGTGAACACACAATTGACAGCACGCCCGGCCTCGCCGATGTGAATGAAGGCAGAAGCTAAGTCAGTGTGGCAGGTTTTCTCATCAAATGATCAGTGATTTTAAATAATGAGAATAATGATAATCTGGTGGGAGTGTAAGTTTGTGGAAGTTTTTGCAACAGAATTTGGCAGAATATATCAAGTGCATTAAAATATTTATATCTTTTGATCACATAATTCCATTTCGGAAGATTTTATAAACCTGAGAAAAGCTGCTCCTGCCCCGCCCCCCTGTCTGCCCATCGTTCTCTGAAGCTCCATCTTTAAAGAAGGAAGGTTTTCCTGTGCTAGCATTGGGGTAGCCCACATGACAGAAGCTGGGGTGGGGTGGGGGACCGGATGTTCTGGGCACATCTTAAAAGCTGGAAAAGTCCATGAGCAAGTTTCATATTGAAATATTCACGTTTTTTCCTCTTGTGTTTCCAGATGAAGACAGTCAGTGTTGCTTTAGTTTTGTGTCTGAATGTCGGTGTGGATCCTCCAGATGTGGTGAAGACCACCCCCTGTGCGCGCTTGGAATGCTGGATAGGTAAGTGCCCCCCAACACTGACGGCTTGGTGGGCAGTTCTGGGCTGGACAGCACCTTCCCACTCATGTTCTGGGCCTGAGGGCTCCAGTCGGTATACATCTGAGGACTTTATCTCTTTTAAGGTTCTGTAAACTTTAATTTTACATGTATTCAGTTATGATTTGTAGTGGAGAAAGTGTTTCAAGGAAAATTTAAAAAGTGATGGTTACTGGATTATATAATTTTCTCCTTTAAATTTGCCCTATGTCTGGCACATAATTGTAGGTTTATATTTAAAAAATAGTAGGTTTTATATTTAATAGTAGGTCTCTGAAAATTGATAGCTGCATGCAGATATGTTTCTAGGAAAGGCAAGTGGAAGACTGAGGAGAGCGTCACATAATGTGCGTGGGTCACAG